TTTTCAGTCCAGTGAATTTTCAAAAGCTCTGGTTTCACTGTCTCTTTGAGACTAAGTTCTGGCTGCTGCAAGAAGTTGTCATAGATCTAACCGCACTTTCCCACATCCTCCATTATGTCAGCACAAACGTTTCACCATGTGGCGAACCAACCCAGAGAACTCATCTGTCTGAAAATTAATCTCTTTGTTTGTTCTGACAAGTTATTTTTTGGCCAGACTACTTTTGCAGGCAGAAGGGAATAGAAAGGCGGAAGGAGAAGGTGAGACCCCATTATCAGGAGGAGCATGCCCCTGAGATGGCTACCATAAAGGTCAGTTCACACCGCACAGTAATTAGCGCTGGCATTTCAATTGCAGAGAAGGGATAGGCAAATGTTGAGCGAACGATCATGTGCAAATAGTCAACAGAGTTGGAATCGCCATATCCAAAGAACAAACAGCGTCTCTTTCGTGAGGGACGCTTGTCTAAAAGTGCTAAAGAGTCAACTCTATGCCTGGCTGAAACACAAGGCGATGTTGTTGGCTTTTTTTTTTTAGCTTTGTGTTTCTTTTTTAAAAATTACAAATAATGAACTAATCTTAAAAAGAAGGTGGTTAGGACATTGAATTTCCTGAAGTGTTTCTAAAAATGGAAACAGCATCATCATGTGTCCCCTTAAATAATTCATAAAATAAAATATGCGTTAATGCCTACATATGATGATGACCCAGTGTCAGATTGTTGCATTTTTCCTCTCACAGAGTTGCTCTTCTTCTCCTTTTTAGTTTTAAAGTTTACTCAAAATTGTGATACTACATCATTCAAACATATTCACAGTAATAGCATCTGTGTACGAGTGGGGTTTGCTGTCCCTTCACGAATGGGCGTCGGTGACAAGGTGGCGTATCTGTGAACTACTGCATCGCTTAAGGACATCAAAAATGGGATCTTAGATTCCAGAAAGCAGTTCACAGCTAATCCATTCCTGATTACATCAGATTGCTGATTAAAAAGAAAAAATCCTTTTTGTTATTGAAAAAAGTAGTTTTCAGTGTAGACAATTTTTTTCCAGTGTACAGAAACTATCGACAAAGAGAACTTTCAAACTGCTTAGTAAGTCTGGTTCAGACATACGCTCACAAAGGACCAAGAAGTTACTACTCCACGGACAGATACTCCAGTAGGGTTTAGGGATTTATTTCTGGCACTGTTGATGATTCCTAAATGACTCTGTGGAAGTCACTCCAATTATCTCAGTCTTCCAGTTGTAGAATGGAATAACGATAAGCTGCTTTGCCTGGCGTGTTGGGAGCTGTGAAGAAAATGCCACACCTGTCTGTCTACCTACCTTTGTAACTGCTTGCCTGGAACTAACTGGCTACCTAGTTATTGTTGTGAATGTTGTT